AAAAAGTGATTTAGCGAGGGATGTGATTGAAGAGGCAATGCTGCCCTCATGTGCTCTGCAATTTGTTATTACAAGTGGTTAAAAGATATTATTTGTGGGCAATTGGTAAATCCCCGACATAACTCACCCTGCTCTCTCAGAGCCACATCTCACAGAGAGGGTCACTAACAGTCACTTCATGTATGGGACAGAGGGGTGGGTTGTTGGGACAGTGCCACCTCTTTTGAGTGAGTTAGAAAACAACCATGCCTTTAACATTAACCACGCTCATACTCAGCCACACCCTCTTTACTTTCAACCTCACAGTGGAGACCTTCTGACTATACCTCACATTTTATCCACAGTTTTGATATTTACAGCTGTTGTTAGTTTTGCCACATTAAAAATATATATCATTAGAGAGGAGATTTTCTGGCCATCAGCTGATGCCAGTGCTATCTGTTTACATTTCTGTTAGAAGCTACACACCTTCAAAACACTAGTCTGGGGGTTCTGTGAAGTGCTGTAAAGTTTGATTGATTAAAAAAAACTCACATTAAACACACATTAAACATGGCTTAATAGAGACAGTTTCAAACACAAGTACACTAATCAGCTTCACTATAACTCCCAAAGTTCACAGACAAACACTTGTTTTTATCTGGACATGTTTTCCCCACAAATACATCATGCTAACATTATTAGCACAAGCCTATGGCATTTTACATTGAATAAATTAGCCTAGCAGCTAGTGGAGTTTTTCCCTACTCAAATGAAACCAGGAAAAATGTTTCTAGGGAGGTGCTTGTCAGGCGACAGTGTGGGTAAGCCTATAGAGTCTGCACTGTAGGTACAGAGTCTATTTGATGCAGAAGTATAAATCCTGCTTTACCCAGGGGTGGATGGGACAATATTATTTATTGTTCCTATCTTGTTACAAATAAAAAAAAAACTGGACAAAAAAGGCAAAAAATGTTTTCCATAACTGAATAAGACCCACTGTGAAGTCACGGAGTGAATGTTGGCAGCCAGTCAGAAACCATTTGTTGCCCCCCTCAAAACCTGTGTGCTGCATAGGAGAATTAACAGATATAATAATTCTTAAAACGTTTTTGTATTTTGAGATCAAGTGATAAATAAATGTAAATAAAAGGTGTTTAAATTTAAACTGCAATTTTTTTCAATTTAAATCTGTTTAAATTTGTAAATTTGTTTTAGCTCAGAACGAGGAATCCCAACTGCCCCTGTGTTTTTGCTTATGGTGATGCAAATTTTCGGAGTCTTCAAATGCTTCATGTCCCTGAAATCTGTACAACCTGAGCTAAAGGGTTATGAAAGTCAATAGACTTCAGTAACTGAGAAATGTATAGAAAATTGCATCACTAAAATAAATAGAAAAATCTGGGACCAGTTGCACAAAACACCTCAAGTTAAGATTGTCCTTATAGTTCAGGTTAAGATTTTCTTAGAATAAAATTAGTTACACAAAACACATCTTCTCCTTCAGGTTTCCTTAGAATATACACTTAAATATTTAAGATTTTCTCCTTAGCTTGTTATGTACTTAAGGAATTTCTTCAAGTTAGTTAAACCATTGCACAAAAGCCTTTAGGTGTCACAAGCTCCAGTGTGAGCAAACAAATGGTTGTCATGGAAACTGTAAAAGTTTATCGCTGTAAAATCTCTTTCAATGCAGTGAATGCCCTAACTTTCTTTCTTAACTAAAGACCCCACACCCTTATGTAGGTCCCTCAATAAATGAAAAATTAAGCCTAAAGTGTCATACAAAAAAATTGAGCTGTTTTGTGCAACTGACACCGACGTGCCACCAACTGACGTTTTTTCATCAGATTTTACAAAATAACAACACAAAACATATTATTGTATGCTGTAAAGCCCTGTGAGGCAAATTGTGATTTGTGATATTGGGCTTTATAAATAAAATTGATTGATTGATTGATTGATTGATTGATGCCACTGTGTGTCCACTGGGTTCTCCTGGTCACAGAACACTCCTCTCATCTTTTTTAATTTATCACCATAAACTCAGTCATGTTGTTAAGATAGAGTCAGAGATTTTTTTTACCCTGCTTTGGTTGCTAAGGTCTTAAGGGATTCCTTAAGTACTAGACAAAGACTTCAGTAAACATTTTGAGGAAACCTGAAGGAGAGGACCTAAGGGTGTTTTGTGCAACCGATTTTATCTCAAGGAAATTTAAATCAATTTAATTTTTAAATTTTAAATTTAAATCATATTGTTTTAGCAGAGAACGAGGTGTCCCAACTGCCGCGGGGAGGGGGAATTTTAAGAAAGTGCACTCTTGTACATTTACCCCTCTGAACAGAAATGTAACAAAAATGGTCTACCAGTCCTGGCATCGGTATTTGTGCTTATGGTGATGCAAGTTCTCTGAGTATTCTTGGGATTCCTTAAGTATAAGACCAAGACAAGGAGAAAATCATAAATACTTAAGTGAACATTTTGAGAAAACCTTAAGGAGAAGATTAAGGGATGTTTTGTGCAACCGATATTATCTCAAGGAAATTCAATTTAAATCAATTAAGACCTTAACTCGAACTTTACGGAAACTCTTAACTTAAAGTGTTTTGTGCAGCTGGCCCCAGACTCTAATATGAGCTGAACGAACAAACATGGAGACAAATATTTGTTCAGGTGCTGAATCCTAAACGTGTAACTGTGGGCTGTGTCTCCTGAAACACCTTCTGTTTCTGTGTGATGAATTATAAATAAGAAGCGCAGCAGTCTGACACACAGAGCAGAGATGCAGCTCGTGCTCAGACTTTAGTGTGTGTGTGTCTGTGTGTGTTACTGTCTGAGTCTCCCTGGTCCTATTAGGGTGTAATAGCTGTGAGGTGAGACAGCGACGTGTTTTATCTGAGCAGCATCACAAAGCCTCTCTTCTCCTCTCTGGAGCCTCCTCAGGCTGAAAATGACTCTGGGATGTGCGGCGGGCCGCGGAGGAAACTCCCTTCACCACAGCCCTGCTATCTCTGTGGGAGTTCATTATACACACAGACTGGCCACACACATGAACACACACGCGCAACACACACACATTCATAAGCACATGCTGTATGTACGACACACACACACATGCAGTATCTATTGTGGGAGATTATTCCACACTCACACAGTCTGTGACATGAACACTGGAGGGCAGATGTGTTCACCATTCACCACACCAGAAACTTACCATCATGGATATGTTTCTGTGGACATCCCCTGCTCCACCCATGCAGACAGACTCTCCAACAGCCTTCCACCCACAGTCCCTCCGCCCACGAGGTGCGGGGTGTGTGTGTGTGTGTGTGTGTTGGGTCTGATGTCTCTGACACTGAACCACTTGTGTTCAGACGGCAGCGGTTACTGTAAAACACACAGAGAGGTAAAACCACAGAGGGGTCACAAGGTCAGGACATGTTGGGGGTCAGCCTCCTACAGTATCTCATGGACCACACACACACACACACACACACACACTTGTACACTTACACTTGTGGCAACCCTCTTTGACACCATGCATTCCCTAGTTTCTAACCTTAAAGATGCACTGATCGATATTTTATAACGCTAAATGCTTCGATATGTTCACCAGCAAGTCGCTAACTTTGTCTGCTGCTTGGAGCTGGGTAGGTAACTAAGTGTGGGTCTATGGCAGCTTTTTTTGCTACGAGTGGGGCTGTGAAAAGTGTAAAGCCACAGAAAAGACTATTTGGAGAGTTTTAGCAACTTTTAGCAAATTGTTTTGGTTGTACAGCACACAGTTTTGTTGTTTCAGTGCAGAAACACAACTATGATATTTCCCTCATCAGGTAAAAAAACGAAGCTAAAAGAAGAGTGAACATTCATTTTAAATTCGTGACGTGGACGTAAGCAATGTTTCTCTGTCTCTGTTGGAAGTGTAAATAGGAATTTAACTAAAAGTCTACAGCATGGTGCAGGAATAAGTCCTAAAACCCAGAAATGAGTTAGCATTTTAGCGCTCCCAGTTCCCTTCTCTCAAAGTCATTGAGGCTTTTTTTAATTAACACAAGCTCAACAGACTTTCATGTTTTGTTCTGCAACATGAAATTCATCAGTAAATACCCCACTGTGAATTTTGAAGCTTTTACTTGTCTTCAAAAAGGTGGATGCTAACAAATGAAGCTCAGCCGAAGTACAATCAGGAAGACTTTATGCTTTATCTGTTCACAATTCTCTCTGTCCCACCACTTCCTCTAATCAGCTGATTATGGACGTTACCTCTTCTCGTTAACCAATCAAACTTTGCCATGATCTCCTTTAGTCATTCATGTTTAAATCTCGTCTCCTCTCTGCTCCAGTCAGCTGTCATTTTAGACCCCAGTCACCTCCAGTCACCTCATCCAGAGCCCAGGACTCTTCCTCACACCCAGATCCTCAGCTCCTTCTTCATCTCATCATCACCACCAGAGTCTAGACTCCATAGCGTGTCTCCTAATCTACTACATCTTCACTTCCCTCCTGGAATATGTGACATCACGATGGGGTCTAATCGCCAAAGACTTTTCACGTCTCATTTTATGTACACATGTAATTAAATAGTCTACTGGTACAGGTAACACTCTGAGTTACACAACAATCCTGTTTTAATGTGTTAGGAATCTACACATGTAAGGCCATTAATTGTGCTTCACATAGGCCATAAAAATAAAGCAGCACATTGACATTACCGTAGTGCTTCTTAAGTCAGAAACAAATATGTTCCCCAAAACCACTGTAACAGTGAGGAACACCAGATGTCCTCTCACATTAAAGGATATTTTTGCTCCATGTTAGGCGTCTCAGGAAGCTCTTCCTCCACAGCTACATTTGAACTTTGACCTCAGTGTGCCACCTGTCAGTCTGAATTCAGGACAAATAAAGTCCACCACTCTACACTCACTACATTCCTTACTTCTTGGAGGTCAGGGCGACTCACTTATGACCACTAACTAGACTCTGATGCCCTCTGCTGGTGAATCTGGGGTATGACATCTCATCAGAATTTGTAGAAATCTTTATTTATAGTCAGTCAAAAGTACATTTATCCCCTTAAGGCCATGACACTCTCAGAACATTGGGAGGCAGCGTTGCAGTCGATAGTAAAAACAGAGACAAGTGAGATCCTGAAACCACATTAGAAACCAAACCGTCAGGAGCAGCAGCACCCAGCGTGGATGTTGATGCTTCCTGGTCTGAAGTCCCTTTGAGTCTGAAGCCCAGACAGAGAGAGTGTCACAGGTGTGTGTGTGTGGTGCTGGAGGATGTGCAAAGGGCCCAAATACCTCCAAACATATTAAACTTCACTGTCTGAAGAGGTCAACTCTTGTTCAGTGAACCGGGGGGTTTGTGCAATGCGGACGGCTTTCCTGCTGTAAACATGTGAACAGAAGAGCCAACATAAATTAGGAAAACTAAAACACAACAAACAGATGAGATTTGTTCTTCCTTATTTACAAAGTATTATTGAGGAGGAGACGATCAGAGTGACGTCAGTCAACAGGTGCTGCTGGTACATTCATAAAACTAGTAAAAATCACAGGGCATCTTTTGATTAGTTGAAAGTTGTCTGGGATTTTCTTCTTCTTCTTCTTCAGGTGTGGAGTTTGTCAGTAGCTCATCCTTCAGATGTAGTGGACGGCACCCACACAGGTTCATGGACACGTCAGTAGACAGTGTTTGTTTTTAACTTCACTCAGATAGAAACAAGTGAATTTGCTTTTTTTTTTTTTGCTTCTTAAAAAACAAACAAAAAGGTCTTATTACAATAAGATGTGGGGACAAAAAGTACAACAAAGACGTGGCATCCTTCCCATTTATACACACAAATAAAACATCTGCACCTGTGCCGCTGCCGTCAGAATGTAGAACATTAAAAACAGATTGGGTTTCGAGCCATCCTGAGAACAATCTGAAAATAATAAATACACCCTGGCCAGAATTGTGGAGCAAGGTCCTGTTGATTGACGGTGTGTGTGTGTGTGTGTGTGCGTGTGACTGTGTTTGGTATGTGTGTGGCAGGTAACTCAGTCCAGGCTGTGTCTGTTTGTGTGTCAGTATCCTTGTAGTCCGTTATAAACCTTCTGTACAGATCCCTGCTTCAGGAGACTTCGAATACCTGCAACAGCACAAAAACAACTCTTAGCAACAGCAACACATCAAAGACAACAACAACAAAAAAAAATCTATATCTGTATAAATATAGACATAAATATATATGTATGAGATGAGCAACAAAAATGTGCCATGACTATCGGCTGTTAAAATTTAGGGAATGTAATTAGGTCTGCAACTAATGATTTTTAAAACATTTGACAATTATTTAGTCAATAAAATGTCCATAAAAAAGGCAACTGATCACTGCATGTTTACAGAGTCTAAGGTGTTATTCCCCTGTCTGCCTGAACATTAAAACACAAATAAAACAAACAAACAAACAAACAAACAAAAAAAACTTCTTATGATATGAGTTTAAGAAAAATAATCAAATGGTCACATTGGAGAAGCTAGGACCTTCAGTTTTTTGGCATTTCTCTCTGGGAAACTACTTAAAAATATTAATCAATATATAAATGAATGTCCTGGCAACCATCCCATTACAGCTCTGATTTTCTGCCCGAGCCTGATTGGGTTCGACCTGACCAATCGGGTTTGGGCCAGGCCATAATTTCTTATTTCATTTCACCCGGGCCTGAATCAGGTCGGGTTCTTACCACTTTTCTTTTTTTCTCTTTAAATTAAACTAGCAGCTCTTGTGCATAAATGGCAGCAGTTTTACCGACTGGGGGAGATAGATACAATATAAAACATATTTGCACTCGGGTTGGGCTTGGACAGAAAATGTGGGTGTAGGGTCGGGCCTGATCAGAGGAAATGAAGCTGCTTTCTGAAGCACCGGTGACGTCAGAAGCTTTGGACGCCATCAATCGTTTGTCTTTGACACAAACTCAGACAAACTGTTTTTGGAACATGTCCATCACCGGAGTGAAACAAGCTTCAGAGCTTTGGTATCATTTGGCATCTCTACCTTAACGTAGAGCATGAAATAATTTCCCAGCACTGATCCCGTCAGGACAAATATCCTTTAACCTTCATTCTCACCGTCTTTCTGCTGTTCATCGAGCTGCGTCTGAGGAAACTCCACGTCGAAGGTGATGATGAGGGAACCTCGGATGTTGATGTTGTCAAAGTTTGGCAGTCCCTCTCCTTTCTTCCACATTCTAGCACCAGGCTTTGTGACCTTATCTCTCACTATATGAACCTGTCAGGCAAAGACAGACGCAACATTCAATCACACACTCCTCTCTTTTGTGATTATATGAAACTGTAAATTATCTGAATAGTGTGCGCTCTGAATAACTGTTCCATATCAGGACAGCTCTGTAAAGACACCATGTATGTACAGAACCTTGTGTCCGTCCAAATGTACGATGTCCATCTCAAAGCCGACCAGCGCCTCCACCAGGGAGATGGTGACGTTGGTGTACAGGTCGTCTCCTCTGCGTTCAAACACAGGATGTCTACAAAGAAAACATCCCCGCATCATGTTACTGTATGTCACTGACTGAATATTCTGCAGTGTAAGTATTTTGTTGAAAGTCACAGACACACAGGAAATCTGGCTTATACATACTTTAACACTTTGATGCGGAATCGTAGATCTCCAGGTTCACCGTCGATGTGAGGCTCCCCTGTGGTCACATGTAACATGTTAACAACAGGTGACATTTATTTTAAAACATACATTAAACATACATATGATTTATATGAAGCTTTACATAGTTTTACCTTCTCCGATGAAGGGGTACTCCATCTCATCTCTCACTCCCTGTTCAATTTCTACCTCCAAGGTTCTCTCTTCATTTACAAGCCTGTGGTGGAGAACACAGAAGAAGAACACGTGTTGTCACCTCTAATAAACACTCAGCTGCCAGATTATTTGTCGAAACCAGCGAAGGCAAATTCAGTCCAACACAACAGTCCTGCAGTGAGTCCTAACTCTATGGAGGTTATAATGATAGGTTGTGTGTTTAGGCTGTTTTAGAGGTGATGATTCAACTGTATGATCATTTTAGAAGATGTATTTTGTGTAACTCAGAGGTGTTGGGCTTCAGATAGAAAGCATTTCAGCAGCTGGAGGTGGCGATTTGTAATTGTTTTTAATGAGAATGAAGCTTTTTGCTTGCTGTTTTTTTTGTTGCTGCACACCTCATGTTTCTGCGCTCCAGGTGCCTCGTGCTTTTGTTGGAGCACTCTGAACTCCTCGAGGTGAAAAAAATCTTTAACTCAGAGTGGACAAGCGCCCCACGTCATCTCTGCTTTTTCCCCATTGTCCAATAGTATGATTTGAGAGGCGGGTCTTTGTGGTGGTCACAACAACAAGTTTACAGTCCGTAAACAATGGAGGAGAAACTGGTGGTGCTCAGTCGCTTGGCAGGACCAATGGACTTCCTGTAGTTAGTATTCATTTGGATAAACAGCAGGTTGTCAAACTGCCCCTGAGTCATCCTAAAATCTGCCTGTAAACGTCCATGATGGAGGAGAAGCTCCTGGACCAACTGGTGGTACTCCCCATGATCCAGCCTCTTTTTTAGGGTCTCATGTACCCACACAGATCTCTGTTTATCTGCTGACAGCCTCTCACCCTCAACCAGAGCGAGACAGATTGGCCTGTAGTGGGGCAATTTTTTTAGAGGGCACAAAAGCATCATGCCGGGGCATCAAAGCAGTAAGTTAAAAAACATGATTCTGATTTCACTTAAGGGGGCGGATCAATTTCTAAAAGCAATAATTCCTTTTTAATAAAATGTGTCCCACTCTAAGAGAAATAAAACACAAATTTAACAAAATAAAAGGCAGAGAGCGAGCACAAAGGCCACAGTGGCTGATGGACATACTATTTTAACAAGGGAATCATGGCCAGACAGAGGGGCCGGGATGGCCATGGCTCTTGTGACACCCGTGAAACTCCTGCCCTGGAGATCAGGGCCTTGAAATCAAGCACTGCAGATAATCTGTGTTCCCTGCACTATTCAGAATCGTGATAACAATAAGAGTTTAACTACAAGCAATGACTTACTTTACATTGGGACACTCGTCACACACCATCTCCTGAGTCATCTGGAAGCGGCCAGGACCGAGCTGCGTCGTCCTCATTTCCTGTCTGCAGTTACACTTCCTCTTGCCGGGAGCTTCTTTGGCTACAGGCTTGTTGCGTACAACCTGTTCGACAGAGCAGTTTTAGAAAAGATTATAAACAAAAAGTAAACAAGTAAACAGTCAGGGAGTAAATCAGATGATGAATCAGTGCATGCTGCGGCGTGACAGCTGCAGGCTCAGTTTAACAACTTAATGACATCAATGTCTGTCAATCAAACACACAGCAGTCGTGACACAGACTTCAGATATGATTAATGAGCGCAGGTTGTCAATTTAGAGAACAGGATTTGCTCCTCACCTCCACAAAGTTCCCAGAGTACACCTCTTCAAGAGTGACCTCCAGGTCTAGTACGATGTCATTTCCTCTGGGGATGTTCCTATCCTGCTGCTGTCGGTTTCCTCCGAACATGAACCCAAAGTCACCAAAGAAGCTACAGAGAAGGAAACGAGGCAGAGGAGGCTTTTAGTACAGACAAAAACACAACTTCATTCATTGCAGATACATTAAATATCCAGGTTTTTTGAGCATGTTTGTAGGAAATATCCCCAAAACAATTTAATCTTGTAGACCTATGTCCCTAAAGGGCTGGTTCACCTTAATTACAAAACTAAAATCACCACCTCACGATCTATCTCCGGCAACCAGTCTAGTTGCAGTTCACATCCATGTCAATCAAGAATCATATAATAAATGTAGTAAAGACTCCATAAACACAGGACAGGACAGTTAATAACAGGGTTTAAGTGTATTTTTGGGGCAAAACACGGATCTTCAGCCTGGCAACACAGAAGATCTATATAATCAGCACAGTGTCAAGATGGACTCCCAAAATTAGTGACACAAATTCAGTATTTGATTAAATGTCTCTCCTTCTGTTCCTGAGTTATGACGTCGATTAACAGCCAGAAAAGTGTTTTTGTATGACATGATGATGTCACAGTGAAGCTGACCTTTGACCTTTGGATATAAAATGTCATTACTTTATAGTGTTGGACATTAATGTGAATTCATAATTCATAGTCATTCATAGTCATAATTAGTATAGGAATTCTTGTGTTATGATTAGGTAACACTGACCTTACATCACCAAAATATCACCAAAATCTAATCAGTTCATTGTTGAGTCCAAGCGGACGTTTGTGCCAAATTTGAAGAAAGCCCCTCAAGGCGTTCTTGAGATATCGTGTTCACGAAAGGGGAAAGGAAATGAAAACATAATGCCTCTGGCCACAGCTGTCATGGGCGCTGAGGCATAACTCTGCACCAAAACTTTGTCAGTTATGACTATTGTTATGGAGCTTTATCTCTATCTGACTCGATCTAGTTTTGGTTAAATTTATTCCACTCAAAGGACTGAAAAATCCCCCAGGAAATTCAACAGCAATGTTTGTTTTCAGAATCAGTGTCACATTGACACGGTCAGTTTGACCCATCACTCTCAATAATCCACAGAACACAAAGTCAGTGGTTTTGATATTAACTATTTTTTGTTGATGTTACAAAAAAGTAGTTTGAGGGTAATCTGTCCCTGATGAGGTCTGTGGATTATTCAGATTAACCACAATGCTGTTTCTGCAAAGACACACTGCTGAGTTTTTTTAAATGTGATCATTCAGTGCTGTGACCGCCACACACAGGATATTTATCTCAAATGTATCAAGGTGGAGAAGGAAAAATTTGTCTTTTGGGTGAACTGACCCTTTAACTTGACCTTACATTAACCATTCAGCTGCATACAGTAAAGAATCCCACTGGACTTTACTCCTGTATAAAACCACCTGAGCTCATGAAACCCACCTGGAGAAGATATCGTTGTGTGAGCTGTGGTGACCCTCTTTGAGTCCATCTTCTCCGTATGCGTCATATTGTTTCCTTTTCTCCTCGTCTGAGAGCACCTACAAAAATACAAGCTGTCAGTCACACAACACGCAAAGTCTACACTGTGTTTAACACAATGTGTGGAATGAATAAAACAAACACTTTTTCAATACAACATTACAAAACACAAGCTCAAACAGCTCTTTTACTAGAACTGGGTGTAGTTAAAAAAAAAAAATCAGATACCAGTCCCCGTAGATTACTTCATTTGATACCTTTTTGTTTAACTTCTTTAGATACCCATCATGTGAATAGAAGCATTCAGTTTTGGTGGCATCTCGGCACACTGAAGTGCCACACTTGACTTCACCACAGCACAGACTGTGTGGGTTGCAGCAGCTGATTTAGAGGGCCAATCAAAGAAAAATCAAAGAATGCTTGCTGGGATTAGCTCCGAGCAAAAACCGTACAATCTTTTTTTTTCCTGGATCTGGGTACAGGAAAGATCGAATGCAGGTATCGTCTGACTGTAGAACTTTCAATACCCTGCACTATCTTTTACACAAGCTGTGTGTATCCACTGTCTGTATATCCAATCACATGACTAATCACAGAGACTTTCAGTGGTGGAAAAACCATATTGGACAATTCTGATATTTCATACTAAAGCCAGGCTGCATTAATGCTTATGTGTCATTTTCCTGCTGTAGATGTTTAAAGTTGTGCTCATTTTCACACCTTTATATAGTGTTGGGTAGTTTAATCTACAGCAATGTATCATATTCTTTAAGATCACATATCTCTACAAAGTCACCTTTTTATGGCGTCAGAAACCAGCCCTGTTCTCAGCTTTGTGACGATGTTTTTCAGCTGATCCAGGAGGGTTTTTAAAGAGTTTATTTAGCCTTTATTTCATCCTTCACTTTATCACAAACAGTCAAAATCAACACATCTGGAGATAAGCAATTTTCACTTGACAGGAAAGGGACTGTGATCTGAAAAGTAACTACAGCTGTCAGATAAATGTTGCACAGTAAAAAGTACAATATCTACCTCTGAGATGTAAGAGAGGAAGTATAAAGTTGCATAAAATGGAAATAAAGTAAAGTAAAAGTATTTACATTTACTTTATTACACTCCACCGCTGTTATTTTTAGGAGCAATGTGAACATTTGATAGGGAAACACCTGCAGCTCTGATCTGAATCCACTCCGATTGATCCACGTCTTGTTTTCCTGGATACCAGCTGTGCTGCGTAACAGCCAATCAGATGCAGCCACACGGTCTAATCGACCAATCACAGCGGCCGTGTCGTTTCCAACAACAACCAAACAGCTAACGTACAAAAGTCTTTTGTATCGGTGCCTCCGGCTGTTCCGCACACAATCACCATTTACCACACAAACCCCACGACATCAGTCTGAAGTTAGAGACAGTTATTTAAATAAAACCTTTATCTGTTGAGTCTGAATGAGTTTCCGGTGCCTGTGTTCAGCTTTAGCTCACAACAATACCTGTGTGTGTGTTTGTGTGTTTGTGTGTGTACTCACCTCATAAGCTGCTCCTAAATCTGCAAACTTGTCTTGAGCTTTGGGGTCATCCTGGTTTCTGTCGGGGTGTAGCTGCAGAGCCAGCTTTCTGTAGGCCTTCTTTATGTCTCTGATTGATGCGGTCTTACTCACCCCCAGGATCTTATAGAAGTCTCGCCTACAGACAGGAAGGTAGCGTTAACAGTTATGGACGACACGGAGAGAACAAAATGTACGACACATGACGGCGGGAGCTTGATAACACTGTTGTTGTGTGTACAGGGTGAATTATTCTGGTGACAGTGAGCTAGCTAGCTACAGACACAGGAGGAGGAAGCCGGCCGGTGCAGCTTCACAGGCAGCGGTATGAATGCTAACAGCTAGCTACAAGCTAACTAGTCAATCCAAACATGGCGGTTACAGTCCTGAATATGAACTCTGAGCTAGATAACATCAAAACACATCGAAACACTTATTATGGAGTTATCTGAGCTGCTCCCGTTCACTCCACACATGCACAGCTGCTCTGGACCAATCACAGTTGAACATGTGTACCACCTGGCGATGCTGTTTCACTGCACACGTACAAGCGACTCACCCCGCGAGCACCGCCGTGATAAGGTAAAGCAGCAGGCAGCACACATTGCACAGGTTCATCCCTTTGTTAGCCATAGATCCCAGTGTTCCTGAAGGCAGGGAGCAGACAGAAAATACAGCCGGCTTTTGAAGGTTGGATCCCGGCTGCCAGTCAAGCCTTCTTCCTCCTGTCAGACAGAGCCCGCCCGCTGGATGTCGGCGTGTACGCCTCTCGGTCTAAACCCCGCCCACCATTAAAGGAACACATCTCAGCCTTCTTTGTATAACTGTGCGACCTAGAGTGCCCCTCCAGTGGAGAAAACATAAGAAAGTGCCCCCTGAAGTGCCCTTTATTGGAGAAAGCACAACTATGGGTCCTCTAGTGTCCCCTTGAATGGATAAAACATAATGACGTACCCTCCCAGGTACTCTTCCAGTAGAGAAAATGTAATAAAGTGCACTTTAGTGGAGAAAACACGATCAAGAGCCCTCTAAGACACCCTTCCAGTAGATTGAAATGTGATTTAGTGCCCTCTAGGACATCCTTAAATAAAGAAAATCTAATGCAGTGCACTTTAAGGCGCTCTTCCAGTAAATAAAACGTGATCAAGTATCCTCTAGGGTGCTGGGGTCCCCTACCAGTGGAGAAAATGTGATGAAATGCCCTCCAGGTTGCTCTTTCGATGGAGAAAACAAGATGAGGTGCCCTCCCCAGTGCCCTTAGGTGGAGAAAATGTGATGTTCCCTCTAGCATGCCCTTAAGCAGAGAAAACATAATTAAGTCCCCTCCAGGTTGTTTTTTTAGTGGAGAAAACATGATGAAGTACCCTCTGGGGTCCCTTCCAGTTGTGAAAACGTGATAAAGTACCCTCTGGGGTCCCCTTCCAGTTGTGAAAATGTTTTAAAGTACCCTCTGGGGTGCCCTTCCAGTTGTGAAAATGTGATAAAGTACTCTCTGGGATCCCCTTCCAGTGGAGAAAACATGATAAAGTACTCTCTGGGGTGCCCTTCCAGTTGTGAAAACGTGATAAAGTACCCTCTGGGGTCCCCTTCCAGTGGAGAAAACATGATAAAGTACTCTCTGGGGTCCCCTTCCAGTTGTGAAAACGTGATAAAGTACCCTCTGGGGTCCCCTTCCAGTTGTGAAAACGTGATAAAGTACCCTCTGGGGTCCCCTTACAGTGGAGAAAACATGATGAAGTACCCCTCTGGGTGCCCTTCCAGTTGTGAGAACATGATGCAATGCGTCTAGGTTGCCTTAGAAAAGGAGATGAAGTGTCTTCTACAGTAGCCTTAGAGTTGAGGAAACATGATGCCATGAAGGCTACTTGCTGGAAAACTTTGTGCACACTGGTGTCCTTTTTTATTGTTTTACCCCTGCTCCTCAGACAGCCTGAGTCCGCCACTGTTCACACATGTAGATAAATAAACTCAAATACAGCAGCATTAGCATATTATGCTAACTGTATGCAAACTGCTGCCAGCTCAGGCTGAAGCTAAAGCGCGCCCCCGCGAGCTGCGCGCAACAGATGTCAGCTCCAGTGTCAGAGGAGAGGAGGGCGCCAAATAGGAAGAAGAGCAGATGTGTGTGTGAGTGTGTGTGAGTGTCGGGTCTGACTCTAGTCACAACAACCCGACAGGACTCGTCTTTACCGTCACGTATGAGAGACTCGTGGAGATGGAGCACCGCGCTGCCTGGACGAAGACAAAGACTGACAGTAAGACTTGTCTCATAGTCCTGTCCTGTTGACGTTAGCATGGGGAGCTAACTGTGGCTAAGTCAGCTACTGAGCCCTGAACTAGCTCAGTGAAGTTAACTTAGAGACAAAACAACTCATCCATCCAGCTAACAAGCTAACGTTAACTCACCTGTCACACCTCACCACAACAGGAAGTGAGTTTGGTGCACATTAACCTGCTGTCTGACTGAGTTAGCTCAGGTTAGCCTGCCAAACTTGGTGTGATGATGCCAGGTCAGGTGTTGGTGACATTAGCAGCCTGGTGCTAGTTGTCATGGGAGCATTGTACAGCAGATCTGTGGTGTGTCAGACACTGCACAGATCCCCCTCAATTAATCTGTAAATGTAGTGTTTAGGAATATAATCTCCTAATCTGACAGCACCTACAAATAAACAACCTAATTCCCATTTCATATAATGTGTGGAAACAATTACAGAAACACATTTTTACCACAATATAATGTAATATTACAAAACACAACCCCAGAAACTATCAGCACCTCTTTTGTGACATATGAACACTTATTTTTAAACAGCTTTTTATCATGATACATTACAGGGGGTGAAGCTAACCTTGTAGGTTTAATTTAATCCATATTGTCAAATCCTTCTGTTAGTTATCATGAGTTATACATCTTACAAATATAACATAAGACATGTTATGAGTTGGTTGTCTGTTCACACATTGTTTTTTGTCCTTGACATACATATCTTATACATTTCAGTTTCTGCCACTTAAAGTGCAGGTTTGTCACAATATATAACACTTGTTTTATTTCACTCTTGTTTGGCTTTGAACCTTTTGTCTTGTTACTGAATATGTTAATTATTTATAGTATACATTTATGACCCTCACGTGAGCTCTTAAACTGCACACCTGTTTCCACTGCATTTTACACCTCTCACGTCAAAACATGTTGGCGTATCCATGTATTAATAAAGGATTTTGAACTGCAGTCAGAGAGCCTCGGATGCACTTTTGGACCGCCTCCCTGTACTGCTCGTGTGTGGTCGACCTTTTAACAGGTGGTAATTTATAAAAGCTGCTCCTCAGCTCTCCCCTCACCAAATCACGTTTTAAAATAAATTTTGCATCATGTCTGGGTCCCTGTTCTCAAGCTTTCGATAGCTCATTAGGATGTCCCATTTCACATCTCCTTTATTTCTTATGAATTGTATTTGTATTTTTTATGTTTATGTGAATAAAAATTGTGAATCGTGAGTCTCTAAATTTAGTGTTTAGGACTGTGGTTTTCAAATGTTTTGTGCCCAAGGTACACCGAAGGGTAAGCCAAAATCTCAGGGTACACCTGTATTTATATCTGTGTACAATAGACTCTTTATTAAGGATAGACCGATACATCGGCCGGCCGATATATGAGTTTTTTTTACTTGTATCGGCATCGGCCGATACGCACGTGGGTTCGCGGATTTATTTTTCCCTGGCATGATTTACAGACAGGCATCCACGGGCAGCTCTGTGTTGCCGGAAGACCCTGCAGCGCACATGCAGCGAATCCTACTGTGTACAGTAGTTGTTGTTTTATTTATGCTTCAGCTTAAATATTTGTTTATTTTATAAAGACATTACTGGAAGATTTAAGAGCACTGAACTCTTTTTTTTATTTGAATGTATAATAATAATAATATTCTACCTGTTCTACCTCAACTTTCCATCTTGTTTTAGTATTTTTTACTGTTCAATAAATGTTTCTTATTTTAAACTTGAGACCTGTAATATTTGTTATCATTGTGTCATTTTTTTGATGTAAATTGAGGGAGCAAAAGCAGTATCGGCCCCAAATATCGGCTCAAGAAAATCGGCAGTCCATAATCAGTCATCTGCTAAGGGTGATGGAAAAATATCGGTATCGGCATCGACCCTAAAAAATCCATATCGGTCTATCCCTACTCTTTATCACTGCTATCACAACATAAATATTTGTTTTTATTCACTAATAAAATTGTATGCTCTGATGAAGGTCAAGTAGACTGAAAGCTTAACAAATAAAGTGAAACACTTCATAGATGCAAGTGTGCGGAAATCTTTTTTTTACCATTTTATTTACTAATCTCAAATGACAATAGTGAACCTATTGAAATATTTGTTAACAAAATGACACAAGAATTAATTTTAACTTTTTAAAATTACATCACAGCACCAATAACACATCCATTTAAATGGAAAATAATATAAGATAATGTGATGTGTTACACACACTTATAATTTCCTTGTGCACATGGCGACAAATAGGTTCCCATTAAGGTTTTTTAAATTAAATTACATTTTTTAATTAGAGTTTGGCTCTTTATTAAGAAATGGGTGCGCACTACATACTGATTAAAAATCAAAATCAAATTAAATATTCACTCATAACTTTTCCCATAGGCCCAGTTGAATATTGCAATAATAATGTGTGGTTATCACAAAATCCCACAGCACCCCTGGATCTGCATCATGGTGCACCATTTGAGAACCACTGGTTTAGGGATATAGTGCAATACTTGCATCAAAGATGCTCTGTGATGTCGTGTGACTCAAAAGAGACTTGATTACATTGCTCTTGTATACTGTGAAGTTCTTGCGTATCAGTCCATCATGTGTCTGACTTCCACATCTTACTCTGTAGACATGGACACAGACAGTGTGAGCATATGGCCACGTATGGAACCTTTCTTACTGGGAGCCCTGCAGGTGAGTGTACTCTTCCCACTGTTTCCTGTAATTAAATCGCCCAATGGATGCTGTCTAATAACTGTAATTAATGCAACTTGTAGGTGGCTCCCTCCTCCAAGCTCAGCCTGCACTATCTTCGCAAGATGGCGATCTACGTGCGGACGCGGGATGGCTGCTTCCCCATTTTGGGCTGGCCCATGTGGAGGCACATTGCCTGTGGAAAGCTGCAGCTTCCAGAAGACCTTGCGTGGCTCTACTTTGAGACATTTGACCTTCTTATAGGTCACACTCCAGAGGAGAGGCTGGAGTGGGCAGAGTGTCTGTCACAGTGCTCTTCCAAAAGCGAGCTGGACCAACAAAAGAACAAGGTACAAAAAAAGAAAATGGGTGGAGTGCGAATGTCTCAGTTTACCCAAGAATGTAATGCTATCTCATCATCCTGGTTAACTTTTTTGTATCAGGTCTGCCTCTTTTGTTTCAGTGTGCTGCTTGTATTGTTGTGTTTGCCCCAGGCAGAAGTTGTTGTTGTAACCCTGCTCTTAAATTCATCTAACTACTCATTGACATGCACCTCTTTTTCCTTTCCTCCTCCTAACTGCAGTTGTCTGTGGACACACTGCAGTTCCTCCTCTTCCTCTACATCCAGCAGCTGAACCGTGTGTCTCTGCGCACCTCTCTGATTGGTGAAGAGTGGCCCAGTCATCGCACTCGCTCCCCGTCTCCATCAGACCGAGAGACAAAGACCAGCTCCCAGAACAAGGTCCTTGTTACTGTGAAGGACAAAAGACACACTGAA